TAATTTACTAAACGAAATATATCTCGCAAAAATACCCAGATTCCTCCAATCTGGAGACCTCCTGTTTTAGGATAAGGAAAGGTGGGATAGTGCTAGTGTTGTGAGTTCGTATTGTTGGATATTATGTGTCTCGTTCGATATAATAATAATTAGATATCTTTCTGTTTCCTTATGAGCGTCTGACGAAGAATAGGAAGAGAATTTTTGTTAGCTGGTGGTACATCAAGGCGTGCTTAGCAACGGTGTGAAGAGTGGGGATGCACGGATAACTAGCGTTTCGAAATTCCCTAAATGTCTGAGGCGCGCAATTTAAATGAAAAACAAGTTAATTTTGTTGTATCTTAATCTTATTTCTCTCATTTATACTTAAAATAATTCATTATTATTAATGTTGGCATTGGAAGTGATTAAGACTGTTATTATTTTTGTCATGTATAAATCTATTTATTATATTTTTTTTTAAATATTACAAGATTTTTGCTTTAATTGACAATGTATTGTTTTTGTTTTATTATTAAAAATATGAAAAGAAGATTATCTATACTTAACTAAAACTAATCTTGATATACATTTACTCAATATAGAACTCATACCATTTTTAAGAAAAATGACTCTTATAATAATTTTTTAACATTATTTTAATTAAACATAGTGAAGATATCAAAAAGCATAACTACATTCTGTAATATATAATATACGAAATATGAAATAAATTAATGTAATATATTTTATAATATAATATAGGGTTTTCTTTCTACTATTATTTTTTTATGTTTCAAAATTGTTTTTTTGCAGAAAGGGGTGACTATGTTTGTAGTTGTTTTCTATGTCAATCCGTACATAATATATCAGAATTATCTTATGTTTTTATTCAAAAAACAATTTAATAAGATAACAATGTAATTCTAAAAAACAAATACATACTTTTTTACATATTCTTCTTATATTAAAAATGTTTAGTATTGAGAGCAAATTTCTATGTCTTCAGTAAAAGCAGTAAATTTGATGATCCTTTATTAAAACTTTGAACTTCTGCTGTAATATGCCAGATATTTTTTTTCACGAATAAAAATATTATTTTTTCGTAGTCTTCTTCTTTTTATCTTAAGATAATGTCCTTTAATATAATCCATTGGTTTTGAATATTTCTTACTCTTATAGAATAGATTGTAGTACTATGGCATTCATTGATGAGTCAAAACTTTTCATACAAGTGATGGTTTTATATAAAATAGTTATTGAATGTCTTCTAAGAGGCTTTGTTTGCCTGATTAATATTTCTTCATTTTTTAATATCATCCAGTCTATTTAAGCTTTTTTCTTGACATCATCATATATTATATAAATGTGGATTATACTTAAATTCGATTTTAAATGGATTATCAAATTTTACATATACTACGTTATTTAATGTTTAACGAGTTTGCGGGCTTTTTAGATCATATATTGATCGTCAGAATTTATAAGTAAATTTATTTAAAGCAAAGTAATATTGTGTCGTACAAATATTCTCCATAAAATTGATTTTGGACAGCTGAACGATAAAAACTTTTCTACTAAAATGAATATTTTTGATCTAATATACTTACAATCATATCGAATGTAAGGTCCAAAGGGTCAACAGGATTTATAATTTTACAAATATTATTAAAAACTGAATAGCTTATCATTTTTAATAAGATATAATTCTTTCTGTTATTATTAATCTTAAGCCTGAGAAGCGTTATGTTCATTATTTGTATCCATAGTTTAAAATTCCACTTTATAGGATGGAACTGTATGAAATAGTGAGGAGATTCATCTTCTAATGTATTCGATCTTAATAATGTACTCATTATTCCAAAAATAAAAAGCTTTTTATTTTTTACAGTACGTAAATAAAGAATCTGTCTATTGTATACTTTGTTTCACTTTTTTTCACCAATGAACACTATGTCCTTCTTGTAATGTATTTCGATAGAATTTTTCTTCTACAAACGTATATTTTCTATTATATTTTTTTATTTATATATAAATGAATATCAGTGTCGTCGTGAAGATTAATTATTTTTTCACAATGAAGTGATAAAGTTAACAAGAATAAAAATACAAAAGTTCTACTGTTTCACTGATATCCTTAGTGTCTGAAGGACGCTGATCAAATGTGCATTTAAATTTGACTGTTAAACGACAAAAGGTTCGAGAGGTAGATACTTATCCTTTATTATTTGTCCTTGTTTGAAATAATAATAATATAACCGATAGTTATAAACAGTTTATAGATTATAAGAAATTTGAACTCTGATGAAAAAAATTATCTGTACACAAACCAACATTATATTATTTTAAATATAAAACAAATACGTATATACGTTTATAGACCACGCTGGCAACTTTTACCAAACGTATATATGCGTCCATAGCAGTCAAAGTGTAAAACACGAAGCAATAAGTCGCCTAAAATTTACTTATATATATTAAGTATTGTATATATATATATAATACTTAATTTATATAATACTATGATAATATATATGATATAAAATATTATACTATACTATACTATCTGCTTCTTCTTCCTCATTTTACTAGGACTTTGTTCTGTTAAAATAGCTTTTTTTTATTGCTATTTCTAAGAGCGATTTTACTATATTATACTATAATAAAATATATAATATATATATTTATATAAAGAGTTACAACCAAAGATAATAAAAATTTTCACTATAATTTTTAATACCAGATTCCTGTGATAAAGAGCTCAGGTTATTATATTTAAACATTAAAAAAAAACCATTTATCATCTTCATATAGACCATATTCAATTTTTTACTCTTTACTTTGTAAATTATTGTCACCTTTGTAAAGAAGTTTAACTTTTAAACAAATTCGCAATAAGATATCGGGTGATAGAAGTGAAAAAAAAATCATATAACCAGATTACAATTGTTATAATACTTTTAAGTTATATATTCTTAAATTAATATCGAAACGAAAAAATAAATTCAATACATTCAACGGTATATATTTTATTTTATTTAATTTAAATATTTAATTAAATATATCAGAAAAGATACTTATTTAATAATTTATTTCTAATATTAATCTTCTATTAGAAGAGAAAGTTTCCGTTGAACAAATAATGTAATAAATATGTATCTAACGAATTTTGAAATAGTTTGACCTCTTCAATACGTATATGTTTTTCTGCTTTGTTTTGAAAGTATTTTTAGAAATAACGATCAAGCTTCTTGTTATTCATATAAGAATCTATCAGTCGATGATATGATTTAGCATGTAGGCATATTATTTTGAAAATAACTACATTATTAGAACAATTACATAGTTCCCACATTTATAATATAAATAATATATTATAATAAAATCCCTTGTAGATGGAAGGGGATTTTATAGTAGGTCCCTCATTTTGTTTTTTATGTGAATACTAATGACTTGGAAAATCCACTGGGAATTTGAACCTACGACGAGAAGTTTTGAAGGCGAACGTTTTAACTACCGAGTTATTCAAGACGATTAATAATAGATGCTTACGTTTCCAAAAATATTACAGAAAATTCGTTAACATATGTTATTATTTTAAAATCAATCCAGAAACGAATCTTGTATTACCCCAAAATGAGAATAAATGAATTTATACACAAGAGAAATATAACAATGTGATTGCTTCACAGTTTTACTCGCTTCCAATTAATTATTTCATTATTAATATTAAATTATGTTAAGTATACGGGAGAAATAAGATTAAGACACACAAAAATTATTGCAACAGTTATTTTTGTAATATTTGTTATATTTTATATAATTGTCTTTTTACATGTGCTGTATTTTTAAAATTGTCTCTTATAATATAAATTACATTTTCCTATAAAGTAAATTTTTTAGTTAATTTACATTAATCATTTTAAGCAATATTTTTATAATTGAAAAATTTCTTCGGTATATAAAAGTAAAATCATATTAAAATATAAGATTTAGATTGAGATTACTGATTGCAATATGTTTTTGGCAATTCGTTATTAGTAATAATATTATAAGTCTGAAACAGAAGAAAATCTCTTGTTTCTTTGAAGTTGTTACTAATTTTGCGGAAAAAAATTGTACACAATATAATATCCTCAAATGTAAGAATAGAACTTTTAAAACTATCTAATGCATTTAAAACAATTCCAAAAAAAACTCCTATAATATCTCGAATTAAGAAAAAGTTTATTCATAAAACTTTTAATATATAACGCTTATTAATTAAAACGCATCTGAATAAAAGTTTTATAAGAATAAGATAAATATTTTAGCTTCATTTACGATTTCGTCATGTTATATTTATTGAAAAAGATTTTATAAAATAAAAAACGAAATTTGCAGGTTTTAAATAACGCTCATTATTTTCCTTATCCTCTTTTTTGTACTAAATTTCTAAACACTTTAATCAAATTGAATGATTGCTTTGTAAATGAAGCTTTTATTTTTTAAAAATATTTCAGTAAAAAATTAACAAAATCAATTGTATCTAATTTTTTCTAGAAATACTTTTAAGAAATAAGAGAATCTTTTTTTTTATTATTGTCTCTACTATTGACCGATAGAAATAATAATATACTTTAAAAAGTTCATTTAACATTTTCGGTTTTCGTTTTACAAACGTTTATAATAAATACTAAGTTGAACGTTATTAATATTAACGTAGCGTTACGAACAAATAAGATTCGGAATGAAAATTTTTCATTGTCGTAATAACGTTCAGTATTATTATATACGAATAAAAACACAAATTTATAGTAGGCTTCTTATTTCTACCCTAATTTAGATACCAATATATATGAACGGAGTGAACGTTCTTCGTTGTAACATATGCCATAATTAACATTAGTAATAAAAACTTGTTATATTCTTCGATTAATCAAGTATGTCTATAAGATTGATAAGTTTGAAACTACTTGTATTTGAATGATTTACTCCAATTATAATAATAATTTTTACTCCAATTAGATTTCTTTTTCTTGCGTTATATACCATTAAAATAAAATTTAACCTCAACTTTCTCAAGTTGTTTTGCCATAGCAATCGCTTTTTCGAGTGTTAAATTTTGGTCTTTTTTTAATATGGATTTTCCTGCTTCGCTTCTTATTCCAATTATAAATTGAGCGAGTAAATGAGCTTTTGTTCTAACATCAGGATAACAATTAATAATTATTGTTTTTAATGCGTGGACGTATTCTGATATATTTTCACCTATTATTTGATATCGATTAACAAAACGATATTCAGCAGCTTCAAATCCAGTATAAGATGAGTACATTTCTTCTAATTTGTATATAAGTTCATCGTATGAAAGTAGATGAGGAGGATCAGGAGATACTTTTTCTTCAATATCCCCCATAATTTCAGGTTCCATCATTTCTAATAACCATTTAACTTTGTCTTCTTTTGCTATTTGAAAAAATTCTAATAGATGTTCGAATCCAATTTGCCATAAAAGAAATTCCATAGTCTTCGGAGAAAACTTTTTAATATATCGAGATATTTTTGGTGTAAAATTCTTATTGAATTTCAAATCTCTAACCATTTTTCACTTGATTTTGACAGAAATTAATAAAATCTTATTATTAGTTTTGAATAACACGTAGTTTGATTACTTGTTAAAAGATTTTTGTTATATATCCTTTGTTACACTTTCTTTTTTTTTTTTTTAAATAAATATGTTTACAAATTCAAATTTTCGAAATGTATTTTTGAAATTATTTTCCTCTTTTTTTATAACGTCAATGCCTTATTATATTTAGAAATATTCTATTTACGTTTAGATCTGACAACGAATGAAGAATCGCAATGTCGTATTAAAAATAAAGAATTTTTACTAATAATGTATAATTTTAATAAGAATAGAAATACTAAAGTATTAATGTATATTAAAACCGTTTAATGAAACCTGATCGAATCTCTATTTAAACTGAACTGTCGAATAACAGGAGAGGTAAAGAGCTGATATTTAATGTCTAAAATGTGTCCTTATTCAAAATAATAACACATGCCTGTTTATTAGAAATAGTATATAGAATATTGCGAGTGTAAACATCGACTCTTGTTTACCGTCCTTCTTAATACGTGTTGTAGTATAGCCACAATAACGTTGTTCGAGGATGGATAGCTAGAAAAAAAAAAGAATCAAAATACATTTTACTGTGGAAATATTTATTTCTACGTTCTAACTAAACGTTTCGTTTATTTATCCATTTTTTAAATTTATATTAAAAATGTATAAATTTAAAAATCGACATGAATATTATTCCTAGCAAGCTAATATTAAAAACAATGTCTACAATATGGTAGTACAACAAAATATTTAATTTTTCGTTTCTAAAAATAATATGCTTATACGTGCTAAATAATATTATTGTGATTCTTACATGAATAACAAGAAACTTAGTCATTAGTTCTAAGAATACTTTCAAAACAAAATAGAAAAACGTATACGTATCTAGAAGATCAAACTCTTTCTAAATTTGCTACATACATATCTATTATATTACAGTCAAACCTCGGATAGCGAGTAACTAAGTCCACAAGTATTTCACAATAATTGCAGAACAGTTTGATTCTATTTACAAGCGATGCCATGCAATACGAGCATTAAAAGTAAGTAAAGTACAGATTAACTTGTTTCATTTTTACTTATTGTTAGTTCAAACAGTATTAATTTAATATATTCAAACAGAATTGTGAGATAAATATAAGTAAAGTAATGATAAGACATTGTAAAAAACTTTGTAAGTTGTGCAATTAAAACCTGATTATATATTAAAACAGATTATAATTGAACACGCTTTAGGAAATGGTCTAATAGCATTTAGAATAATTCTATTCACATACAGTGACTCACGAAAGTATTTGAACAGTTGCCATGAAATATTTTATTAATTACAATAAGTGTATTACAGAACAGTTACCGACATATTATTAACATAGGATGGAGCTATGACTCTGTAGATTATACAGGTACAATTTCAAGCAAATCGAAATATATATACAGTAGTTATGATTTATTTCTTACAAACGTAAATTTAAATCGAAATTTAAAATATTACTCTAATAATTAAAAATATATTACTTTGTTACAGAAGGAATCATCTTTGCTAATAAATTCTTTGGCGAATTTTGATCTTTTCTTCTTATTAACACATTGCGTACGGCGCTCTGCGCGGTCAAACCGCGCTCAAAACCCGCACATTTCCGAACGCTGTAGCAGCATGCTTCTTGGTGAGCAATCTAAAGCGGATACATACAATTCTAATTTGTTTTGGTATTATATTCACATATATTATTCTTAAGCATGGGAGAGGCTTTGTTATCCTGGTAACGCAACAATCTATTTGCCGTTGCTTGTTTACGTTGACGATTGATTCGAAATAAAACATGAGAACGAGATATCTCGTGACCCGTACGCAACGTTTGAGTGCATAAAAACGAGATATCTCGTGACCCGTACGCAATGTGTTAATATTACGAATGTATAGCTTCTTTCTGGGAACCCTAGCATGATAATCATTTTTACGTAGCACTCTTCTACATAATTCTAGGTGTACATCTTTCTTAAAGTTTTGGTTAACTATTGTTGCAAGTTTTGTAGCAGTAATCTTTGGATTTTTTTTTATTTCACGGATCAAAGCTGTTTCTTCTCATTCCGCTAACTTCTTTGGTCGACACTTGAACAGTATTTATTTTTTATAATTCCTTCMGATTTCAATTTTTTAATAATGTAATGTAGATTTGTTTATATTTAAAAATTTATTTATTTCACCCTATGTTTTTTCTTCTTTGTGCGCGACTTAACAATTAATATTCTATTACTTTCARAAATTTCAGATCTTTTCGGACTCATGATCAATATCGTAATATTTCACTACGAATACTGGATTGTGACTGACAAATGTGCATAAGGCAACAACTAACGATCTTCCATGTATCCATTTAGTACGTGAAAAACTTTTATTTTCATTATTTCTTGATCTTAGTTCTGTGTGTCGAAATACTTTTGTTGCTTCAGCAATCTTCACGTTTGTAAGATATAAATCATAACTATTGTATATATATTTCGATTTGCTTGAAATTATACCTGTATAATCAACATAGTCATACCTCCATCCAATGTTAATAATATGTCTGTAAATGTTCTATAATACACTTATTATAATTAATAAAATATTTCATGGCAACTGTTCAAATACTTTCGCGAGTCACTGTGTATATCCCTACAGCAATACTTTAAATATTATAAATAAATATAATATATAATATATATAATAAATAAATATATATAAAAATAACAAATGTTTTTTGTCTACAGTATCAATTTAATATTATATTACTTGTATATAACATATTTATCGGTTTTGTTTTAACCGAATTCTATAATGTCGTTTGATAACAATTAAATTGACTCACTTGGGACCATAGAAAACTAATTTCAACATTCATTTGTAAAAGACAATCATTATAAAAGATAATAGAAATAATATATCATTTATTATGTGAATAAAATATATCATTTATTATATTTTAATATAATCGTTCAATAGTCATTTTAATTGTTATACTCTGCAATGGTTTTCACAGTTTTCATTCTTTTATGGGAAATAATTAGAATTGCATCCAAAAATTCTGTGGTATTACGATTTCTGAAATCTTCCAAATGCTAGATATATTTATACATATTTTACTATAAGTATACATGGAAAATTGAAAGTAGGTAAACTGAAGTTTTGTATATTTGTCAAGAATTGTAAATAATATCAAAAAATTAATTTTATGGGTTATACAAAATCGATTGTGAGATGGTTACATCTTAATTAAATCAATTTAAATTCAAATCATCAATTAAAATTGGCCAAGATTAGATTTGATAACATCCATACATATATTATGCATAATAAAAATCCCATATTTTCAATTACAATATGATATTAATTAAATAATATCTGCAAATCATCAAAAAGAATATAACATCAGCTAGATGTTATGGTGTTACAAATAATACGATCAGATATAAAGGAGAAGTTTTTAATCCACAATCATCAAAATGTCATCAAATAAGTTAAACTACCATTGGATTCCATGCAATGTTAAATATCAATATCAACATTTATATATACTAGAAAGCAACCAAAAGCAAAATGTATGCAAGTTAAATCATTATCAATAAAAGGTAAGAAACCTTTACTTTCAACATTTGTACATGCAACTTATGTTAATTGGACAATTATTCATTTCCAGTCTTTTTTATCCCACATTACAATAACTGACAATATCAAAATTTGTTTCAGCAGCAGCTATCACAATTGTTACACATTGATATGGGACTTGATTACTATTCTACATTATTTGAAAATGGTTTCTTTCTTTACTCTATAGAAGAAAAGAGTCTTAATCAAAAGACATATTGTTTCATCCAGACGAAATGATGGTGACAGTAATATTAATTATACTGTTTTGGAATACGTGTTACGTACTAACACCCATCATCCACTTTATTTAATTTAAATAAGGTATCCATACATGTGAAATTTTGACACAAGATTTCGACTATTCGTAAACAAACTTCTAAAAGTATTCATCTTAAAAAATTCGGATGGATAAGGAGCAATAAATGATATTACGAATAATGATCAAAACTACAAACTGGATACAGATGAGCAACAAACCCGCAATGCTGTATGATAATCCTCATTTATGTCATCAACTCGATTTGGGATCTCTATCTCATTTGTACTTTTTAGTTTCTCTTGCTGAAAAATAGAAAGATATAATTAATGAATTTATTTGATGAAATCTTTTCAAGAAAAACGTGTATCATATGAGAATTTAATTGAGCATCGTTAAGGCTACCATGAAAGAAAATCTGTGATATATTTTAATATTGCGATAGTAGAAAATAAGTATTAATTTTAATAAATCTTCTCTTTTTGTTTTTTTTTGTGAAAAGTAATTATGCTAAATTTTCTGTTACACGTGACCTTTTAGCTACTGTACAACTGTTCTCAGCTCTGTAATTTTGTACTTTTATGCTATATTTAATTTAACACTCTTATTTGTCTTTGATTTTTGGTGGATGTTAAAAGTCGTATACCATAGAATAAAACCATTTGAAAATAGAAGAAACATGACATGTTCTATAATAGGTAGGTAAGTCGCAATAAAAAGAAGAAGAGAGTTTTAATTTGTAACAAATAATTCTGTACGTTATCCCAATGATATTGTATTTTAAGTTTGATATCTTATTTCTTTGTAACGCTACAATGATACTGAAGAAACAAGATTTTGTATGAATTGTAAATTTTCAATAAACGAGATAGAAACGATTATAATTTTGGAAAATACTTTTAATTTTACAAAAGTATTACATTTACAAAAGTACGATATAAATAAGACGTTTAAATTTGTCTATGTTTATATTTGAAATATTCTCTACAAAATGTTTATAATCATAAGACATTGATTATTTACTTTGAATAAGAATTTATGATAAGCGCTGAATATCTGTCGTTAGCTTATTTTGTATTTAAGCAGTTAGGATTAACATGTAGATCGTTATATAAATTTATAAGAAAATCCCTGTCAGAATACATATGTTGTTTAAAAGTGAAAAATAGTTGATTGTCAAGTGACTGATGCGACCTGAACGGAAAATTCAGTATTAGTCACCTATAACTGACAAAGTAATCAACGTGTTCAATATCGAATCAATTAATATCTATCAAACGGTCAAAGTATATGTTAGAACTTACATATTTTTAATCTTGTTGATATAATACATTTGTGGTAACGATTATTCACCTTCAATACGATACTAATATCATATTCACTCAAATATCATAATACATAAAATAAACATAAAACGAATAATTTTAAATATAAATCATTAGCGTCTTTCAAAATACAAAAAAAAAAACAATATGATTTTTCAAGTTAATTTGCCAAAATTATAAAGTGTTTATTAATAAAAGTGAATCAAGGAATAAAAGATAAAACTTCAAACGAGTTATTTAATTACGTGAAAATTTAAAAATTAAAAATATTTGATTATTTCTGCTTTGAAATATTAAACAAAATGGATATTATAGCAAACGCATTAATGATAAAAGCAGAACGTATACTCAAGAAATTTACTAAGGATAACATCAATTTTCCCGATTGGCTAAATCATTTTGAGTATTTATATGATTTTCTTTATATTGGAAATTCTCATAAAGCTGCCTTTTTATTAAATATGTTAGAACAATCGGTATTTAATGCTCTTCACAAAAAAGTAGCTCCTAGGAAAATTTGTAAACTTCCATACGATGATCTTATATCAGAGTTAGAGGAAATGTACTTTTCTCATCCGAATATGTCAGCAATTGATGAACGTTTCGCGAAACGAAATCTAATGGTGGGCGAATCCGTAAACGAATATAGTGTGGTATTATTAAAATTGTTGGAAGAATGCAGGCTTAGCATTGACTCAGGTAATCAGTTAATAAATCAATTCATACAAGGACTGAATAGCATCAGAATGAAAAAAGAATTGCAAGCAATAAAATCAAGATACATTTTCAGTGACTTAGTCGCAATAGCCTTAAGAATGGAATATCAAGAGATTAATCATATAAAGGAAACGATGCTATTGCCAAATTTAGACTAGAAAAAGACCGTAATTACAACTACAAGTTTTTCGAAAATAAACAAAATAAAAGATAAAAAGGCAAAAGAAGTCATTGAAGAACAAATAAGTTTTATGCTCGTCAATTTTATGAAGATTCTTAGTTAATCGATGAACTAATATCTATCAAACGGTATATTTGGAATACTCTATTATATTATGGAATACTCTAGGAACAAAAGAAGTTTTTATTTCTAATGGGAATTGTTGCACAGATTGAAAAAATCCGCGTTCATTCCGTTAATATTGGTATCTTAATTATGATATAAAAAAAAAAAAGAAACATGCAATAAAGCAGTGCATTTGTCGGTAAACAATACCCCTGCATGTTATTAAAATGATTAAATATTTGAATCCTGGATCTTATTTCTATGTAATTAAATTGACATTAAAGAAGTAATATATTTTATTGACTGTAGCAGACAAAAACGGAAAGTGGTATTAATTCTTTAAAAAAATGTCATTATTTAATGATAGCTTCCAGTGTAGAAATAAATATATATATATATATATACATTTTGTTTAAATATAGAAAATATTTATGCATATTAATTTTAATGAGATAACATTAGATGTATTTATTAAATAGATATAACACTTATTATCATTTTGTTTCAAGGATAATACAAATTTTTTATATTTTAATATGCTATATATATATATTTATTTCTACAAGGGTTACTAAAGTGAAAAAGAATATAGTTAAAACATTTATATAGAAATTGACGTAGTAGAAATTTTTACTTAGATATTTTAAGTTATTAAAGTTAAAACAGATTTGGGAGGAAACAAATATGTCACGAAATATTGAAAGAGAATGTAAAGAAAATGTTTTGGAGAATAAGAACGTCAAAGGTTTCATTGTCAGTACTATAATAAAAAAAAGAAAATCATTAACCGGTGACTTTGTATGACGATCAAATTTGCAATACTTTATAAATTGTTTATAATGATTAATCATATTGATAACTCGTGGAAAAATTTATTTTAAGCACTGAGTAAATGTACCTAAACTCTTTTCTCCATGTAAACAGTTAAACTTAAACGGATTGTTAATCCGCTTCCGTCAAAGAATTAAGATAATCCTCGAACTTTTGTATTTTTATTTTTATTAATATTTTAATTCATATGTTGCGGTTAATGTTGATATTACAGAGATTTTATAGAATACCTAGAATATTTTGCAGATTTGCTTCTTAAATTGAGGAATATGCAAATCATAAACATTGCCTGGTGATTTTATAGATTTTATATATTCTATAAAATGCAAACATATTTTCTGTAAATCTATAAAATGTGTTTAATTAGGCTATTTTTAAAGATTGGAGAGGGGAAGTGATGATTTTAAGATACTGTAATTGAAATAAGTCATAGAAATTTAAAAATATGTACAAAATGTCTTTCACAATTTTCGATCAGTGGGGTGTGTTTAAAGCATGGTAGGAAGAGGGGAATGAGGAAAAGAATTTGAAGTTATTGTAAGTGGAACAAATCAAGGAAATTGGTTAATGGGATTGTTTATATATTTTTTAAATTTATTTCGTTAATTTTTTAACTGAAACCTTTTTTTTTAAAAAATAATAAGTACTGTACGGAAAGTGATATTATAATTTAATTAAAATTGTTAGAAATTTTTTTAATTAATTGCACAAGAAAAATAATGAGTAATTTGAAATTTTTTATGTTGTCTTTTATTTTACACGATTTATTTTGATTACAATAACATAACATAATCGTACATTAAACAACCAGATTTACCACGATGTAAAATTTTGTATCTAGTAGAACTCAATCGCGTCGTCTAAATAAATAATATATATACATATATGATAACTTTTTCATAATAATTTAATTAAAAGCTATAAAAAATTACTTTCATTTTAATTCCAAAGAATAATTAAGATAAAAATGATGTATTAAATAGTATTTTAATGAAAATATACAAGAATAACTTTGGATTTGACTAAGTATGGACTTGAATAAGTTTGCCTAATTTTTGTATGACATTATTTTTTTAGTAAGCTTATTACATTTGTAAAACAGATATTATATGTAAATTAATAAAAATGATAAACTTAGATGCTAAAACTATTATTTAACAAATGATTAATTGCTTAAATTTTACCTTATCTTGCAATCTTCGTTTTTATCTATCTAATGATCTTTTACTTTTTGGTTTTCCTATCATAATCATAATCCTATGTGCTGTTTTATTATTTTCCTTTATTGTTACGTACCTTATCTAACTTTATATTTATGAGCATTATGATTGATATGATTGAGCATTATAAACAGTTTATAGAAAGTTACGAATTTAAAAATCGACCAATTCTAACGTTTATAGTTAGTTTACTTTTGTTTATCATCGTTCTGATATAATGCTTTGTAAACTTCAAAGTACTTTCAAATTGTAATCGTGTAACATATTTTCTTTACTTCAATCCTTCCATATCTTGTTACATTTATTTTATGCTCAAGTCAATATTAACTTTAGACACATAAAATTCCTAATCATAACCTACTACGTTAATCCTTATATTAATATTCTAACTGGATTCTAAGTATTTTTACGAGTTCGTGTAGAAATAAAGATATTTTTCAAACTGTAAAATAAATATATATTATATAAATTATATATTTTAAATTATAAAAATGATGGTAAATCACATATTTATGATAATTCATAAATGTAATATAT